CGGCCAAGCGGATCTTGTAGACGGCCAGCCGGCGTTGCTGCAGGTGCAGCGACTCTCCTAGGTCAACCTTGAAGTCCTCTTGCGGCTGTCGACGTAGACTGTCGTCATCCTTTTCTTTAGGAAGCCACCCGTCCGGCGAACGAGGGCGACTGGACGGCTGCGACGGAAGTGCAGCAGAAGATGTTCTCACACCTAGCGTGGAGCTGGCGAACAGCTTCTGGCCAGGAAGCTGAGCGCCGCTCCCATCGGCGTCTTTTTCAAGCGCGAAACGCTTTTCGAAGCGCTTGTAGAACATTTCGTTCTTCGGCTTCAGGTAGTACAGGGGGGACCCCTCTGGCCGAAGCCAAAAATCACAGTAGTTTACGGCGCCAAAGCAAGGCACGTTTCAGCTTACAGCACGCGTAGACAAGCTGAGCCGACGGACGGCTTTCTCTGCAGTCCTCTTAGGAGCCATGGCCTGCGCACAAAGCCGGCAAGGCCCCACAAACTTCGGGGACACCAGACCTGCCTTCTGAGTAGCAACCCCTTCCGCAAGTCACAACTGCTTGAGCCTCAAAGATTATCTACAAAACAAGCTGCGCCTCTCGCCCTAAACTCCACACGAGCGCAGCCGACACGCACCTGTTGTTTTCTATCTGCGCCGCAGAAGCCAACTGGGCGCCGCAGCAGCTGTTAGCGGAGCTTGCGGCTTGCGCAGCACCAATGAGAGAGCGCACGCCGACACTAGCCTGCGCTGCGAAAATGCACTTGCAAGGGACAAGGGAAAATCCGTACGCGTTATCACGGGTCTCCTTACAGATTAGGCGCTCCGTGTCAGGGGCTCAACCCTTCCCGAACAGTGAAAACATGGGGCCTATCGCAGTGAATAAAGTCGCAAACAAAAGCAAGCGATCTGCTCTGATGTCGCACTCAACGCAATGCGTCAGCAACCCCCAGAAATGGAACACGGAAAGGCGCGTCTGCCCCATACGTGCGTTGAGAAAAACACTGGAGGCAAAGCCTGCAAGTTTGCAACTTCAACGCTCACAACCCCCGTTCAATCCTTTGTGCGGAAACCCCAAGACCACTGCTCGTCTGCAGCAAAGACCAGCCTGGCCAAACAAGGCTCCATCGCAACACTGAGGGTTTTGCCACTTCCGTCCTTCAAGCAAATCTGGCATGGAACACACACACACACGCACACACTCAATACCCCAAAAACGGTCTCTAGAACAAGACACGCACACAAACACACAGGTCGCCCTGGGCCAGCCTCTAATCCTGCAGCAAAGACCAGCCTGGCGCGGCCGATCGAGATTTGCCGGCTGCACACTGACAAAAAGAAACGCTGGCCAAACAAGGCTCCATCGCAACACCGAGGGTTTTGCCACTCCCGTCCTTGAAGTAAACCTTCCATGGAACACACACACACACACACACACACTCAACACCCCGAAAAACGGCTGGGCGCAAGAGAAAGCTTGTCCTATCCATTGGAAGACGGTTCTCGCGTTGCTTGGGAAAGCAAGAAGCAAGTCTCCCCAAAAAACGCGGGCGCCGCGCCCGTAGAAAAACGACCCGTCTCTTTTGCACCAGAGCTGTCCTTCAACCGACCTGTGTGGCAGACTTCTCAAGAACCCAAACGACAACGTTCACATGTCTCAACGTTCGGCGCCGCCCTGTCCAACAGTCTCCACCCCACAGTATCAAGCGGAGCGCGCGACGCCTCGCAAGCAAGCTCTTACAAAACAGCCACCCTTTTGGCCGACATCTGCATCGCTACTGAGTTGCACACGTGAGCTCCTCGTGTGGAAGGCTTTGCGTCAAGCTGCCTGCACATTGGCCAGGCCACGATAATGTACGACAACACAGTTCCCACTTTTGGACAGCCAGTCATGGTTGTCCAGGAAGGACAAATTCAAAGTTGAATAATTACAGGTTGCGACAAACGGGGTGCGGAACAAGTATTTCTCGTACTTGCACTGCCCCCCTGGCGTTAAGCCAAACTCCAGCTCTGCGCTGTATTTCCCCTGCAACTTGTCTTGGTTTTCTGTCAAAAACTGCACGTCGCGAACATCATCCAAGACAATGCCATCGTGAAGTTTACGGTCGAACGACCGCAACTTGTCTGGAAAATGCAGGAGGGGCCCAACCTTGAGTTCTAGAGGGCACTTGAACAGGGAAGCTGCAAACTCAGTCTTCCCGGACATGGACGCACCTAGCAGCAGCAAGACTGGGTAGCGCAGGGCATCTGCTTCGAAAAGTTTCAGCCACGCTGTCACTTCTGGAACTTCAGGGAAAGGCTTGTACAAGGCAGGGTTGGACCGGATTCTCTTGGTGTTGTCTGCAATGATTTCAGCAAGCTCCAACCGCTCCTCCGCCTGCTCCACAGCGTCCAAGTTGCGCTTGCGGCTCACAACACCGTCACGAGTCAGGAACAAGTACTCCTTGTACGTGTCTGTGGCCAGCTTCCGTTGCTTCCACAGCTTCTCGGGCCACGCCCCGAGAACTTGGTAGCGGAAGCACTCGTCGGTCCACACAGGCGCGTAGTTGCCAGCAACACAAAGGTTCCCCTCAGCGTCGCGGGCTGTCCCAACCTTGTTGGCCCACACGTAGAAAAAGCCGCGGTCAATGCCAATCTGAAGCTTCCTGCGGTTCAAGCCCTCCCCGCACAGGTCGTGGGGCTGGATGTTCGGCTCTCGAACAAGAAGGCAGCTGCAGTCTTGTCCACTGCGGAGTTGAACTGCAGCATGACGTGGGCATGCAGCCCGCTGCAGCACGCCTCCACAAACACATTCAGCCGCAGCCAGTGCGAGGAGTCCGTCATCCCTTGGTAGGTGAGGAGGGCTGCGGTTGCGTTGACACGGAACTCTCTGCGCGCAGCTGCCTTGGTTTTGGGAGTGGCTACACGAACCACTGGTAAGCTTGCCGCAGAAGCGCTGGACGACTGACCCCTAGCACGTTCCTTCGCGCTCTCCCACGCGCTACGGGCCTCGTTCAGGCGCTGCTGGTCCCTTGCCTTGCCACCACGGTCTGGGTGAACCTTCAAGGAAACTTTGCGGCAGCAGCGGATGATGTCCTGGTCAGGAGAGTCCCGTGAGCAAGCAGCCGCGACTCCATAGGCTTGGGCCAGCGCACGCAGGAGAAGCACCAGTGCGCGCTTCGCTGTCAAAACAGCAGAGCATGGCATGACGGCAGTGCGGAGAGCCGGCTACTTACCTTGCCACTGCCACTGTTTGTCTGAGCGCGGCGGCAGGCAACCCCAGGCTAACAACTTGCAACCCGCCGTGTGTGTGAGCTCGACTCCTTATTCCTGCGACAGACAAAGTTTCAACATCTGGTCTCGCCACGTCTCGTTCGATTTCCGTACAAGAACCTTCTCTGATCCAGTTTGCACAGTTCTGGCGGAGTAGGCAGAAAGCGTAAACCAAAGCACCTACTCCACTCCTACTCCGCTACTCCGGGAACTGTTTGTAAGCCTGCGCTATTGCGAAAGCCATGTTTTCTGAAACCCCGGCGGAGTAAGCAGCGCGCAAAACACGCAATTTTGACGGCTACCCCCATTGGAATTTGCTACTCCATCCGGTTTTGAATATATACTACTATTTATTGAGCGGATGGGCAAATCCGGCGGCCGCTGCCTTGGCAGTGGGAAGTTTTCTCACTGGTGTTAGGAGTCTAGGGGGGGAAGGGGGCAGTCAGAAGCAACGAGACAACTTGCGGCCAGCCCGCCGGGCCTTGCGCTGAGGCGCCAAGCCGGCCGGACTTGAAGTTGAAACTGCCCTGCACCAGCGCCTGCCAGCGCCAAGAATGAAAGGCAGCGCCAACACACTAGCAAACTTGCTACGCCCTGCTGAAGCGTTCAGACGGACCTGTCGCTTGTCTAACAACGGGGTCGCCCTCCCTGCCACCCACGCCTGTGTGAGGGCATCGAAAGAACCCGCTCCCATCAAAGCCAGAACAGCCCATCTCCAAGCCAGAAGCACAAACAAAGAACAACCATGGCCGCTACACACTTGCAAGGCATTGGTGTCACTGGAAGCTGTTTGAGCACAAGACACAGCTGCGTCGCGCACGTGTCAGCATGGTTGTCATTGGAAAACACTCCTTCTTGCTCGTCTGAAAGACTGCAAACAAGACCGCATCCTTTACCCTCACGCTCGCAGGGCCACCTCGCGTTCCGCAGGCTCTCACCTGTGCAGGAAATCACAAAAAACAGACGGCCCCCCCGAACGCAACCCCAAGCCTGCACCACTGGCAGCACCTTGACGGCGAAGCTGCTTTCGCACAGAGGCCACGGCCCTGTCGCCCGCCCGTTGGAATTGGCCGCTAGCGCGCGCAAAACACGCGTGGCCTCAGTCTGTCCTGGTTGGCCCTCCCTGCGGCGGCACAGGCTGTGTCTCCTGCACAGAGCGCAAGCCAAAGCGCTCGGTCACACACGCATGAAGGGCGCGCGTGGCGCACAGACACACAGACAGACACGCACGCACCCGCGAGCGCAAACACAAACACAAACACAAACAAACAAACAAACAAACAAACCAACCAACCAACCAACCAACCAACCAAACCCAACAAACAAACAAACAAACAAACAAACAAACAAACAAACAAACAAACAAACAAACAAACAAACAAACAAACAAACAAACAAACAAACAAACAAACAAACAAACAAACAATACAAACAAACAAACAAACAAACAAACAAACAAACAAACAAACAAACAAACAAACAAACAAACAAACAAACAAACAAACAAACAAACCAAACAAACAAACAAACAAACAAACAAACAAACAAACAAACAAACAAACAAACAAACAAACAAACAAACAAACAAACAAACAAACAAACAAACAAACAAACACACAAACAAACAAACAAAAGAACAAACAAACAAACAAACACACAAACAAACAAACAAACAAACAAAGAAACAAACAAACAAACAAAGAAGCAAACAAACAAACAAACAAACAAACAAACAAACAAACAAAAAGCCCCGCCCTCAGAGCGCCTGCGCCGCCGTCTGCCCTGCTTGCTCAGACTTGTTCTTTGCGGCCAGGAGCAACTGCAAGTCCTCCTTGCAAAGTCCTCTCGCAGCCTGCGCGCGCTGAGCATCCAAAAGCTTCAGTCCGCGCACTCTGCGACCTTGAGCAGGCGGCCACGTCTCTTCACGGCGTTCTTCTCCTTCTTCGCTGCCTCGCGCGCAGACTTCTTCGCCTCTTCCTTCTGCTTCTTGAGGCGCGCCAACTCCTCCCACAACAAAGCCTGGCAGCTGCGCAAAGCACCACCTAAAACAAGACATGAGCATGAGCCAGCGCGTGGAGCGGACCTATTTTCGGCGCCGCAAAAGCTACTTGAAACTGGCTTCGCACAGAGGGGCCTTCCGAGTTGAGCAACTGTTCGCGCTCAATCAAGAGTTCGAATGGGTCGCGCGCGGAAAGACTGCACAGCGACCGCTTGCCCAGCCATCACACTTGCTTCCGTGGGCAAAGCTTTCCTCGCAGACGGGCTGCGCGGCTGCGCCCAACACACATAAGACATGATGTTCAGCTTCAAGCCCCGAGGCGGCATGGCCTTGGCCTCTGCAAGACTGGGGGGCTCGCGTCGCAGCTCAGGCACGCCGGCCGAGCCCAACGCAAGCATCAGCCCTTCCGACATGCGTTCCTGCTGCATCATCAAGCCATCACGGAGAAACGCCTTGGCCCACCCCAGCTCCAACGTTTCCTGCGTGGCCGCAAAAACTACTCGCAGCCAACACGGTGTGTCGATCCGGCCGCCTGGCATTTCTGACTTGCACAATCGCCACTTGTCACGTAGTGTGGCTTTCAAAGGCCCGAAAAAATGAGTGTCGCAAGGCTGTAAGTACCTTGTCATGGAAGCAGGCACATATACCAGACGCAACCCTTTCTGCTTGGCAAGTCGATAGATGGACATGTGCACGTGAGCAGGGCAAAAGTCCACCAGCAAGATCACGTACCGTGTTGCGACAAGGTCGCCAAGGCACCTTGCCAGCAAGCAAATGTATTTGCGCATAGTGCAATGGTTGTTCCAAGCAGACTTCTGGCGCCACAGGTGGATATTTGGCGGGCAATCAGGCGCCACAGACCTCAAAGCCTTTAGAGTAAACTTGTGTTCGTTTCCAAGAATCACCTGCGGCAGCTGGGGCTGCACTGTTGGGTCGCTGGCGACGGTCGCCAGATACGACACATGGCCACGGGTGTCTGCGAGAGAAGCGTGGTCAACTGCTTGGCCACCCCCAGCACGACGCGCCACAGTTGCCACAGTGCCCTGCGCCGCAGGAATGTGGTACGCCAGAGCGGTCTCATCCATGTTGACGATCAGTGGGTCACGGTCAGCAGGTGCTTCAGACAGGGCAAAGTTGATCCACTTGAAGAAGGCGAAAGCCTGCGCAGACGCACAGGGCCACCTGAATTTGGGCCCGCTGATCGTCCCCTAACTACTCTGCACACGCAAACTTTTGCGACCCCAAATTTGGGCCTATTCAACGGACCCCAAATCAGGTCCATCGACTCTCACCCAAAACCTCTACTTGACTGGCCAAACATTTCCTCACCTCGAACACGCTGGCTTCAACCTGTGCTAGCCTGCGCCGCGCCTTGGCCTGTCGCTCCTCCAGCGGCACAACCTCCTGCACTTTCAAGACACCAAGCCGCGCGCCCCACCGAGCTCGAAAACGAGCCAGCCACTTGCGTTGAGCGCGTGGCTGGGCATTGAAGGACGCAGCGAGCGCACGCCGCACCTCAGATGGCAATGTGGAAGGCGTGAAGCACAACGCCTTTCCAACCAGCTGGTCACGGGAAGGCGCCACGCCGTGCTCGCTGTTCTGCTCCACGATCCATCCGAAGAGCTGGTGTTCCACCACATATCGAGCAGCGCACGCGGCCCTGCGCCCGCACAGCGCTGGCATCCCCTGAGTTTTGGGAAAACACCTTCTCGACATCCGTGAAAATTGCAACAGCCTGCATGCCAGACGCCTCCTCCAGATGCCGACGACGGCTTTGTCCGCGGCCATAGACAAAGTCCACAGTGATTGCAGGATCACGCCCGCTGTAATTATACACCATCCCCACCAGTGGAGACGCAATCGCGTGCATCAAAGCGCCCTGCCGCGTGCTGGCGCTAACTGCCTCCAGTCTTCTCTTCCTTTGTTGGGCGCCCGAATCTCGCGGCTCAGGTCTGACACAACTCTGCTCTGCACTTCCCTTGTCGGCGCTGCCTGTGCTTCACCAGCGCCAGTCTCCACACACCCCTGATTCGCCCGTGCTGCCAGCATGCCTTTGCTTGCGACCTGCACGTCCACCACTGCGTTCCACGTTCCACAAGCTCTCCTGGCCCTTCTGCACGTCTGTTCCACCGGCTCCTGGCCCTTCGGCGCTTGAGCCGCAACTCTGCGAACCGAGAGGAGTTGTCTTTCAACAAACACACACACACACGAGCATGCTTGAGCAAGCACACACAAGCCACGCACAGTTGAGCAACTGTTCGCGCTCAATCAAGAGTTCGAATGGGTCGCGCGCGGAAAGACTGCACAGCGACCGCTTGCCCAGCCATCACACTTGCTTCCGTGGGCAAAGCTTTCCTCGCAGACGGGCTGCGCGGCTGCGCCCAACACACATAAGACATGATGTTCAGCTTCAAGCCCCGAGGCGGCATGGCCTTGGCCTCTGCAAGACTGGGGGGCTCGCGTCGCAGCTCAGGCACGCCGGCCGAGCCCAACGCAAGCATCAGCCCTTCCGACATGCGTTCCTGCTGCATCATCAAGCCATCACGGAGAAACGCCTTGGCCCACCCCAGCTCCAACGTTTCCTGCGTGGCCGCAAAAACTACTCGCAGCCAACACGGTGTGTCGATCCGGCCGCCTGGCATTTCTGACTTGCACAATCGCCACTTGTCACGTAGTGTGGCTTTCAAAGGCCCGAAAAAATGGGTGTCGCAAGGCTGTAAGTACCTTGTCATGGAAGCAGGCACATATACCAGACGCAACCCTTTCTGCTTGGCAAGTCGATAGATGGACATGTGCACGTGAGCAGGGCAAAAGTCCACCAGCAAGATCACGTACCGTGTTGCGACAAGGTCGCCAAGGCACCTTGCCAGCAAGCAAATGTATTTGCGCATAGTGCAATGGTTGTTCCAAGCAGACTTCTGGCGCCACAGGTGGATATTTGGCGGGCAATCAGGCGCCACAGACCTCAAAGCCTTTAGAGTAAACTTGTGTTCGTTTCCAAGAATCACCTGCGGCAGCTGGGGCTGCACTGTTGGGTCGCTGGCGACGGTCGCCAGATACGACACATGGCCACGGGTGTCTGCGAGAGAAGCGTGGTCAACTGCTTGGCCACCCCCAGCACGACGCGCCACAGTTGCCACAGTGCCCTGCGCCGCAGGAATGTGGTACGCCAGAGCGGTCTCATCCATGTTGACGATCAGTGGGTCACGGTCAGCAGGTGCTTCAGACAGGGCAAAGTTGATCCACTTGAAGAAGGCGAAAGCCTGCGCAGACGCACAGGGCCACCTGAATTTGGGCCCGCTGATCGTCCCCTAACTACTCTGCACACGCAAACTTTTGCGACCCCAAATTTGGGCCTATTCAACGGACCCCAAATCAGGTCCATCGACTCTCACCCAAAACCTCTACTTGACTGGCCAAACATTTCCTCACCTCGAACACGCTGGCTTCAACCTGTGCTAGCCTGCGCCGCGCCTTGGCCTGTCGCTCCTCCAGCGGCACAACCTCCTGCACTTTCAAGACACCAAGCCGCGCGCCCCACCGAGCTCGAAAACGAGCCAGCCACTTGCGTTGAGCGCGTGGCTGGGCATTGAAGGACGCAGCGAGCGCACGCCGCACCTCAGATGGCAATGTGGAAGGCGTGAAGCACAACGCCTTTTCAACCAGCTGGTCACGGGAAGGCGCCACGCCGTGCTCGCTGTTCTGCTCCACGATCCATCCGAAGAGCTGGTGTTCCACCACATATCGAGCAGCGCACGCGGCCCTGCGCCCGCACAGCGCTGGCATCCCCTGAGTTTTGGGAAAACACCTTCTCGACATCCGTGAAAATTGCAACAGCCTGCATGCCAGACGCCTCCTCCAGATGCCGACGACGGCTTTGTCCGCGGCCATAGACAAAGTCCACAGTGATTGCAGGATCACGCCCGCTGTAATTATACACCATCCCCACCAGTGGAGACGCAATCGCGTGCATCAAAGCGCCCTGCCGCGTGCTGGCGCTAACTGCCTCCAGTCTTCTCTTCCTTTGTTGGGCGCCCGAATCTCGCGGCTCAGGTCTGACACAACTCTGCTCTGCACTTCCCTTGTCGGCGCTGCCTGTGCTTCACCAGCGCCAGTCTCCACACACCCCTGATTCGCCCGTGCTGCCAGCATGCCTTTGCTTGCGACCTGCACGTCCACCACTGCGTTCCACGTTCCACAAGCTCTCCTGGCCCTTCTGCACGTCTGTTCCACCGGCTCCTGGCCCTTCGGCGCTTGAGCCGCAACTCTGCGAACCGAGAGGAGTTGTCTTTCAACAAACACACACACACACGAGCATGCTTGAGCAAGCACACACAAGCCACGCACAGTTGAGCAACTGTTCGCGCTCAATCAAGAGTTCGAATGGGTCGCGCGCGGAAAGACTGCACAGCGACCGCTTGCCCAGCCATCACACTTGCTTCCGTGGGCAAAGCTTTCCTCGCAGACGGGCTGCGCGGCTGCGCCCAACACACATAAGACATGATGTTCAGCTTCAAGCCCCGAGGCGGCATGGCCTTGGCCTCTGCAAGACTGGGGGGCTCGCGTCGCAGCTCAGGCACGCCGGCCGAGCCCAACGCAAGCATCAGCCCTTCCGACATGCGTTCCTGCTGCATCATCAAGCCATCACGGAGAAACGCCTTGGCCCACCCCAGCTCCAACGTTTCCTGCGTGGCCGCAAAAACTACTCGCAGCCAACACGGTGTGTCGATCCGGCCGCCTGGCATTTCTGACTTGCACAATCGCCACTTGTCACGTAGTGTGGCTTTCAAAGGCCCGAAAAAATGGGTGTCGCAAGGCTGTAAGTACCTTGTCATGGAAGCAGGCACATATACCAGACGCAACCCTTTCTGCTTGGCAAGTCGATAGATGGACATGTGCACGTGAGCAGGGCAAAAGTCCACCAGCAAGATCACGTACCGTGTTGCGACAAGGTCGCCAAGGCACCTTGCCAGCAAGCAAATGTATTTGCGCATAGTGCAATGGTTGTTCCAAGCAGACTTCTGGCGCCACAGGTGGATATTTGGCGGGCAATCAGGCGCCACAGACCTCAAAGCCTTTAGAGTAAACTTGTGTTCGTTTCCAAGAATCACCTGCGGCAGCTGGGGCTGCACTGTTGGGTCGCTGGCGACGGTCGCCAGATACGACACATGGCCACGGGTGTCTGCGAGAGAAGCGTGGTCAACTGCTTGGCCACCCCCAGCACGACGCGCCACAGTTGCCACAGTGCCCTGCGCCGCAGGAATGTGGTACGCCAGAGCGGTCTCATCCATGTTGACGATCAGTGGGTCACGGTCAGCAGGTGCTTCAGACAGGGCAAAGTTGATCCACTTGAAGAAGGCGAAAGCCTGCGCAGACGCACAGGGCCACCTGAATTTGGGCCCGCTGATCGTCCCCTAACTACTCTGCACACGCAAACTTTTGCGACCCCAAATTTGGGCCTATTCAACGGACCCCAAATCAGGTCCATCGACTCTCACCCAAAACCTCTACTTGACTGGCCAAACATTTCCTCACCTCGAACACGCTGGCTTCAACCTGTGCTAGCCTGCGCCGCGCCTTGGCCTGTCGCTCCTCCAGCGGCACAACCTCCTGCACTTTCAAGACACCAAGCCGCGCGCCCCACCGAGCTCGAAAACGAGCCAGCCACTTGCGTTGAGCGCGTGGCTGGGCATTGAAGGACGCAGCGAGCGCACGCCGCACCTCAGATGGCAATGTGGAAGGCGTGAAGCACAACGCCTTTTCAACCAGCTGGTCACGGGAAGGCGCCACGCCGTGCTCGCTGTTCTGCTCCACGATCCATCCGAAGAGCTGGTGTTCCACCACATATCGAGCAGCGCACGCGGCCCTGCGCCCGCACAGCGCTGGCATCCCCTGAGTTTTGGGAAAACACCTTCTCGACATCCGTGAAAATTGCAACAGCCTGCATGCCAGACGCCTCCTCCAGATGCCGACGACGGCTTTGTCCGCGGCCATAGACAAAGTCCACAGTGATTGCAGGATCACGCCCGCTGTAATTATACACCATCCCCACCAGTGGAGACGCAATCGCGTGCATCAAAGCGCCCTGCCGCGTGCTGGCGCTAACGGGCCATCCATCTTCTCTTCCTTTGTGGTCGCCCGAATCTCGCGGACTCAGGATCGAACACAAATCTGCTCTGCACTCCCCTTGTCGGCGCTGCTGTGCTTCACCAGCGCCAGTCTCCACACACCCCTGATTCGCCCGTGCTGCCAGCATGCCTTTGCTTGCGACCAGCGACTTCCACCACGGCGTTCCCACTTTCCACAACTCAGTCCTGCCCTTCTGCACGTCTGTACCAACCCTCCAGGCCCTTCGCGCTTGAGCCGCAACTTCTGCGTACCGAGAGGAGTTGTCTTTCAACAAACACACACACACACACGAGCATGCTTGAGCAAGCACACACAAGCCACGCACAGTTGAGCAACTGTTCGCGCTCAATCAAGAGTTCGAATGGGTCGCGCGCGGAAAGACTGCACAGCGACCGCTTGCCCAGCCATCACACTTGCTTCCGTGGGCAAAGCTTTCCTTGCAGACGGGCTGCGCGGCTGCGCCCAACACACATAAGACATGATGTTCAGCTTCAAGCCCCGAGGCGGCATGGCCTTGGCCTCTGCAAGACTGGGGGGCTCGCGTCGCAGCTCAGGCACGCCGGCCGAGCCCAACGCAAGCATCAGCCCTTCCGACATGCGTTCCTGCTGCATCATCAAGCCATCACGGAGAAACGCCTTGGCCCACCCCAGCTCCAACGTTTCCTGCGTGGCCGCAAAAACTACTCGCAGCCAACACGGTGTGTCGATCCGGCCGCCTGGCATTTCTGACTTGCACAATCGCCACTTGTCACGTAGTGTGGCTTTCAAAGGCCCGAAAAAATGGGTGTCACAAGGCTGTAAGTACCTTGTCACGGAAGCAGGCACATATACCAGACACAACCCTTTCTGCTTGGCAAGTCGATAGGTGGGCCTGTGCACGTGAGCAGGGCAAAAGTCCACCAGCAAGATCACGTACCGTGTTGCGACAAGGTCGCCAAGGCACCTTGCCAGCAAGCAAATGTATTTGCGCATAGTGCAATGGTTGTTCCAAGAAATAACTGCCAAGACAAGAGGCGGTTCAGTGACGCCTGAATTGGCTCGTGCATTGAAATTCTTGAGAGATAGGATCCTGGGCGGGCCTCCGCGCATCGTGAGCTCGAGACCTTTTGCACCTGTATCATTTTCGTTGACGCTTGCTGTGAAGACACCCTTTTTGGAGTTGGCGGCGTGCTTGTTTGGCCAAGCGAGGGAATTTCCGAGTTCTTTTCGACCGAAGTGCCGAAGCGTGTGATGCCTTTCTTCAATAGGACTCAAAGCAAGAATCCCATTTATGAACTTGAGGCCCTTGCAGTTGTTCTCGCGCTCAGAGTATGGGCGAAATGCATAGCTCAAGGACAGATCCTTATGTTCTCCGACAATGGAGGCGTTGTTGGTTCTTTCATACAAGGAAGGAGCCAAAACTCCGTAGGCAGAGCACTGATCTCAATGGCTGACGGACTGGAGGCCGACGCGCAGTCCAGAGTTTGGTACGAGCGAGTGGCATCGGAAAGCAACATCGCTGATGGGCCTTCTCGAGGCGACGTCACCGAACTTGCGGGTGCAGTTCAGAGAGACGCCTGCTTGGAAGCGGTCCTCACGGAACTCTTGGAGACGTTGGACTCCGGTGGCATGGGGTGATAAGGGAGTCTACGGCTAACGAGTGTTAGCGGCGAGTGCCATGGCGAGTGCCATCGTTGCTTATGCAGGACTGCCGTTTCCCCCACGATGCCTTGAGAAAAGATTGATATCAAGAGTGCTAAACTTTTGAACAAGTTTCATATGTGATAGTTTACATATGATATATGAGTTTTGTTTACGGATGTTTGGCTCAAACGGTGACAAACAGTTCGACAAACAAGCTCATGACCAAAGATGAGGCAAATAAGATTCAACTCACTCGTGAGTGATAGAACCTTATTTGTCTCCTGTTGTTTGGTTTGTTGAACAAACCGGAACATGTCATGAGCTTGAGTTTTCTTTCAATTTGATCAAAGACCTGTCACACTCCCTTTTGGCTCAGGGTAGAGGAGGGTGGGAGCCCCTTCGTTTGTGTGACCGGGTATTTTTGCCCGCCCGCCCACCCTGGGTGATAAGGGAGTCTACGGCTAACGAGTGTTAGCGGCGAGTGCCATGGCGAGTGCCATCGTTGCTTGTGCAGGACTGCCGTTTCCCCCACGATGCCTTGAGAAAAGATTGATATCAAGAGTGCTAAACTTTTGAACAAGTTTCATATGTGATAGTTTACATATGATATATGAGTTTTGTTTACGGATGTTTGGCTCAAACGGTGACAAACAGTTCGGCAAACAAGCTCATGACCAAAGATGAGGCAAATAAGGAGTTCGGCCTCAATGCCTACCATAGGTTGCCGGACAAGCATCCTCAAAAGACGTACGAATTCTTATTGGCATTGATCGACCATCAGATCAAGGCGGATCGCGAGGACCTGATGCTTGACATGAAGGAGAGATCGGTCAAGTCGATGATGAAGTCGGGCGGCAGAGATGCAGCCAACAGGAGAACAGGGTGGCAAAGGCAGAAAGGGGAAACCCAGTGGACCTGATGCTGCTCCTGTACTCCCAAAGGCCAAAGCAAAGGGTCACGCTGGCAAGAACGGCAAGTCCGACGGTGCCAGCGACAGAGGCAAGAGTCCGGGCGGGGGTAAAGATAACCCATGTTGGTATCACTTCAAGTCGGCGAAGGGATGCGTAAAAGGGAATGAATGCACATTTTCCCACAGCAAGAAAACGGAGCACAAGCTGGAGAACATGTCCAAAGGGAAAGGAAAAGGTAAGTCCAAATCCAGATCATCGTCACCAAAGAGGGATGATGGAGCATGCTTCGCGTTTCAGAAGGGAAAGTGCGACAGAGGGAGTGCTTGCAAGTATAGGCACGAGCTCATCAAGAACAATTCAGCTCCGGCAACGTCAAGCGACAAGGCACAAGCCAAGTCGAAGGCTGCCGCCAAGGCCGCAGCGCCAGCTATTGCAAGAAGGGCCATCGCGATGCCTGCGATAGTCCTGAAGCAATTGGCCCCTGCGGGAAAGGTCAGCTTCAAGAAGGACGTTGACCAGGTCGAACCGGATGAAGCCGAGACTGTCTACCACGAGCATGATGACGACGCGATGAGCGAATCATCAAGATGGTCTGGCGAGTCCGAGATCCCCGAGAAAATGGTATGGTTCAAGGAAGTACTCGATGTCGACGAGAATGGAGAGATCACCTATCTCGAAGACGAGAGAAGACAATGGGAACGAAAAGGGGAATGGTACGGCTATGAGGACAATGAGAATGAGCCTTATCAATACGTGTACGTCGACGAGAAGAAGTTCAAGAGCAGTGATCATCGAGAATTATCAGCCTATCAAGTCCAACGATCATTGATAAGAGCGAAAATACTGAGAGAGGTGGTGGATGACATATACAAGAAACACTACTTCCCAGTGACCAAGGAGAGCAGCATAATGTTTGAATATGATGAGAACAAGGACGAAATCAGGGAGTCGGCTGTCGACTGGAAGAAACAGCATGGCTTGCCGAAGAACGTTTTCGCCATGTCAACGTGCATCAGTAAGCGGGTGAAACGGTTGATGGACACTGGATGTGGTCATGATCTCATCGGACGAGCCAAGGCAAAGAGCCTGGGTGTCGACATCGTGAAGGATGATGACGAGATTGTGTTCCAGACCGCGAATGGTTCCACTTCCACATCAGACGTGGCCAAGATAGTCGTGGACAAGTTGGACGAGACTGTCGAGCCGCACGTGTTGGATGAGACACCCACAGTGTTGTCAGTAGGGAGGAGATGCATGAAGATGGGTTACGCATTTCATTGGATGCCTGGTAAACTACCTTTCATGGTTACGCCAAAGCAGGGATTCGTGCACTTACAAGTCAAGGACGACATCCCATACCTCGTGAGTGATGGTAAGCTTCGGAGTAACAGGCATCGCCCTACGGTAGACGACCTCAAGGAGCACTTTTCGGAAGTATTGGCAATGGTAACGAACGATGCGGCAGATCAGGATGGCGACGATGACGACGAAATCACACCCGCCGCTGTCGGTGAATCCGCAGAGGTCGAGGGCGAGCACCATGATGGTGCGTTCGACTTCGGACCACCCGGAGGAGCCGGTCCGGTACGTCCGCCTCCCGTAGCTGAGGAGATACCTGTAGACGTTGGGCCAGTCCCGCGTCGACATGGTGATGCCGAAGCTAACGAGGAAGGGGTTGATGAGGACGATCCAGATGCCGGAATTGAAGTTGATGTGTACGAGGGATCATCAATAAAGAGGAAAGTGGGAGTCCTCAAGAGGGACGCCAACTCCATTGCTCATTTGCTTACACACAGATATAGAAACCCGTTCTGCGAATCATGCGTCAAGGCAAAGATGAGACACTTCAGATCAGAGAAAGTACTACACCGAGGAAGAAAAGGCCGAGGTGAAGGGCGGTGGCAAGAAGAAGAAAGAAGACCCCAAAAGTAAGGAACCTGAGATTTCTGCGCCGGCAGAGGCACAGACATCGCAGATGCCCGGTGGTAAGAGAATTCGAGCAATGCTTCGAAACCGCTGGGGTGGAGTTGAATGGCAGTACAATTGGGGATTGCGGAAGAACATATCAAAGATCAAGAACCCAATGGATGGGAAACATTTGGCTGAACTTGATTGGGTCAGGATTGTTGTAAATCCTGCTGACGGAGTGGTTGTTCTCATGGATTCCAAGCAATCCCAAGACGTCTTGAGACGAAACGTTCAGCTTGAGAAAGAATTTGAGTGTCTGGTAGTAATTTATGCCTGGAAGTTCAAGTCAGAGGAGCGATCAAAGTCGACTCCAAATTGGACGAAGGCAGTTGCATCAGTCATGGAGAGTCACAAAGACGAAGCTGAGACGACATCGGGGACAGATCCAACGATCGATGTGTCGACGGATTTTACCTGGTACGAATGGGAGGAGTCTGCTGAGGTAGTTTCTGGAAAAGTGCCACCCGCGATGCCTGCAATAGGAAAACGGCGAAGCCAAGAAATACCCATCGATGCCGTGCGTGACTTCTGAGCGAATACAGCACAGAGAGAAAGCCGTAAAAGTTGTACGATTCTTCGACGCTTTAGTGTCCAGACCGGTTGGTCGGAAAGAAATGCTGGCCAACCCTGATGCGTTGGCATCGATGAAGAAAGAATGGTCGGGATTAATCGACCAGGGCGTCTTCGATCTTGGCGCAGTGCGTGAATATGACGCTGTAGCCAAGGAGGCAAAAGCGAAAGGGGAAGAGATACACATGGCTCGCGCACATGGTATATGCGTTGAAAAGCACTCACAGTTGCCTGTTGGTGACCCTAAGAGGAAGTTCAAGGGCAGAGGCGTGTTGCTGGGGAACCAAGTGAAGAATCAAAGCTTTGAAGCTGCGATGTTTCAAGATTTGGGGAACTCTCCTGCTTCGTTTGAGGCCTCGCGTTGGGCGGATTTTTTGGGTTGTCATGATGGTTGGGACGTGCAGATGGCCGACGCTGTTCAAGCGTAGCCGAGTGAATGCAAATGGGACAAGTACAGAAGACCAGTCGTCCCGTTGAGGAAGGCGCTGTATGGACACCCAGATGCGGGAACATTCTGGGAGCAGCGCTGTGATGAATCGGTGCGTGCCGTTGGGTTTGAACCCATCGGTGAGGAATGGCCGTCAGTGTACATTCATGAAAAGCTCCAGCTTGTTCTGGTTGTGTATGTCGACGACTTCAAAATGGCAGGACCGCAAAAGAACCTTGCCCAGGGATGGAGCATGTTGCGTACACGTTTGAAGATTGAGCCCGAGACTGGACTTGACATGTACCTTGGTTGTAATCAAAGCAAGGGAAACGTCACTCTCGGGAACGGACACCGCGTAACAACGGTGACCTATGACATGGAACAGTTCCTACGTTCCTGTGTCGACCGCTATCTTGAGGTGGCGGGCGATGTAAAGTTGAATAAGGTTGTCACTCCTGAGTTGCATGAAGAAACAAAGAATCACGTCTCACGGAAGCCTGCCAAAGAGGGGCCGTCAGTCGTGTGCAATTGGTGTAACAATCTTGTGCCCACCGACGGTTCTGCCACAGTGCCGGACCAGCGGGGAGGGACTCCTGAGTTGGCCATGAAGGAGCCCGTGCGTGGACACCTTGCTCCGCGTGCCGCTAGCGTACTAATGAAGTTGCTGTACGGTGCGCGGATTGCTCGCTTCGATTTGTTGCGGCAAGTGAATCGCCTAGCACGGAATGTGCACAGGTGGACTGACTCCGATGATCGGGGTTTGCATCATTTGATGTGCTATGTACATCATACTAAACATTGGCGCATGGTCGGTTGGGTCGGAGACCCATGGATGATGTGCACTTGGCCTTGTATGCGGACGCTGACTTTGCAGGATGCGTCGACTCGCTACGTTCCACCTCTGGTGGACACTTGAATATACAAGGGCCTAATACCCGATTCCCGTTGTCGGGCAGCTCAAAAAGACAAGGTTGTGTCAGTCACTCAACCCCCGAGGCCGAAATAGTTGCGGCCGATGTTGCCATGAGAACGATGGGTATGCCTGCTCTAAAGTTGTTAGAGCGGATTCTCAAGAAGTCACCGAACTTTGTGTTCTATGACGATAACAAGG